GGAACAAGACATCCAATCTGCACTCCTCTCCATTGTCTCCCCCACCAGACAGCCCAGTGAATGAATGCTCCTGGCCAAATCCCCCCTTCCATGTGCAGACGCAGACTCCCTTGCCCACAGATGTGCTCGGCTCTAATTAGGCAGACCGCTGGACGTGTTGCGGGGGGGAAATCTCTCTGCACAGACATATCGTCTAGTGGCAGCTTTACAGATTTACAACTTTTCATCTAGTTTGTGTAGCGTGTGTAAGCTGGTGCTGAGGGAGAGGAAGACAGCGAGATATTGTGGTTGCTTTTGACGATTAAGTGATGAACACAATCCTTGCTTTTAATGTATGGCACAAAACGACACTCAAAGAAATGTGGGACTGAGTGTGTGTGTCCGTGCTGCAACATGTTGCACAGCTTTGCACAGCCCTGCCATTCACGCAGTTACAGAATGTACAGTATGCTTCAGATCTAAACTTGCTGAGCATTACCCCTGAGACCTGCGTCATCAGCACAGAGGTTATTTCCTGTAGTTGAAGAGCAGCATGACTCTCTTCCTGTTCTGTGTGTGAAGAAGCATCAGGTTTGTCCCACTCAGTCCCAGTTTCATCTGTACTGGACACAGGTTACACAGCAGCAGATACATTTTTGCCTCATATTAGTTATTTCTTATTTCCTGTAAGTTCATTTAGCTCCTTTAACTTTAGCTTATATTGTAGTTATGCTATGTAGCGTGTGAAATAGAGTATGGTGAATGTGCTAGGAAAGATAGTATCAGCCCTGTTTCTACCTGGAGCTCGCATGTACGGAGCCTGGGTTTGGTTGAAGATGGCAGTGCTGTTTGGGCTGAGAAAGCCATGTGTAAGTAAGGAGGAAGTCCAGGAAGAGGAAGGTTATTTAAGTGTGGGAGTGGCCTATTTGAATCCATTTTGTTTGAGGCCATGCGGCAAGGTGAGTGTGTTTGCTGATCCTGTAAGTTTATTTAGCTCCTTTAACTTTAGCTTATATTGTAGTTATGCTATGTAGCGTGTGAAATAGAGTGTGGTGAATGTGCTAGGAAAGGTAGTATCAGCCCTGCTTCTACCTAGAGCTCGCATGTACGGAGCCTGGGTTTGGTTGAAGGTGGCAGTGCTGTTTGGGCTGAGAAAGCCATGCGTAAGTAAGGTAAAGGAGGTTACTGGGTTGGTGCAGGGAGGGGAGCAGTGAGACCTGGCATTAGGGGAGTGTCTCTGGGACACTAGAGATCACTGTCTAGCCTCCTGGAGGTGTCGTGGGACCAACTAGACGAAACACTGGTGAAAGGAGGTTCCCACCCGATGACCCCAAAGACATGCTAGTTATCACTGCTCATTGGTTTGTATAGTTAAGCCTTGCCATATTAGCTTATCATAGGGCTTAGGTTTTTCACTGAGTGTTGATCCTTTCTCTAGAGCACAAACTTCTTGTGTTTATTTGAACTTTATTTGAACTCTTCTTTTATTCTTAATGCATTCTAGATATCCAAAATACAGATACCCCTGCCTGAATTATGCAATGCCACGGTTTCAGCCTCCTGAATTCGAGCACTGAACACAGCGAGCCTCGTCAGTCTGGTTCTTTTTCAGGTGAATGTTTCAAATATTCACTTCAAGGTGGAAAAAAAGTGAAAACTGTCACGGTGGTTATGTTTAAATGTCAAAGTCGCAGCAGTATAGCTACTCTGAATTGAAAGACCAAAGCCAAACCCTTTGGAAATATAGTTTTCACATTCACTCTCAGTGCATTCACGGATTATGATTACTACCTGTAGGCCTAAAAGCTTTGGCTCTATAAAAGAAGTGCTGCAGCTCAAGTTAAAGAAGAAGCTCAACCTCAAGGAAGTAAATATGAAATATGAAGCACTCTTCCACAACATGCATGAAATTTTAAATTAACAAATACATAGCGCACTTTAGGGGAGAATATCTCAGAGGGTACAAAACGTGGCACCGACATTGTTGCTTTGCTTGTTGTTTAGAGTTTTGAGTTAACACTGTTGTGACCCAATTTCCCAAAAAAGACACATTGCATCGTGACTATAGTTGACTAAATCTATAAAACACACTATAATGCGACGCAGCATTAATGAACTTCAGCGTGCAGAGGCAATCACAACCAGTGAAGTCTCCTCTTTCTTTTACCCAAACAGAGGAGCTGTTACCTTTTGCTTCCCCGACTCATCTCCTCCCTCTTCTTCTGTGTCCCTGGGGAGACTTTGCAACACAGTCCCTTCCAGCAGCTTCCTCCTAACAACAAAAACATTGTCTTATTCTATTTTATTTTTCCTCCCCTCCATCTCAGTAGAGCTATTACTCTGCCTTATTCTGCATATGACCCGGGGGCGATGGGAGGCGGAACACATTGGCCGTGGATGATAATGTCTTTCCACCGAGCTGAAATCTACGAGCTGCACTTCTCTGCTGGTGGTTTTGCAGCTATTTGGTTTTGTTGCAGTATAGCAGAGTGGCCTATTGGTAACAGTTTTATATGCGGTTATTACATTAAGCATTAGCCCACTCAAAACAGAGAATGAGGCACCAAAATACGAGCGTTTGTGCCAAGAAGCCCATGTCCAACTCATCCACATATTTATTCTCAGAGCTCACAGCTGAGGGAGGAGGCCATCAGGTTTACTTCCTACATTTGAATTGTATGATGTCCTTTAACAGATCTGTTTTCTCTCTTTTCATAGCCCATTTTGTAAACAGTTACTTCTGTTGATAAAAGAATGAATCATAATGAACAAAGCTGCAGAACCAAATGCAAGAAAAAATCATTCCGTCATCCACCCAGCATGGTCTACTTGCTTATTCAAGCTATACAACACATGTAAACTGTTTCAGCTCTGAGAATATATGAAAATAAGTCTGCAGAGTCCACAGCAGGGGCGTAAATATAGACAGTGCAGGCAGTGCAGTTGCACAGGGGCCCATGAGGTGGGGGGCCCATAGAGAGAGTGGGCCCTCCAACAATGAGGTGAGTGGAGAATGGGCCCTTATGAGTGATTGCCACCTTGAAAATATGCCTGTGTTCAAAGACGAACTCTAATGAAATTAAAGACAGTGCCATTTGCTATATATGCCCTTGAAAAAGGCAAACCCATCTCTGTCATGTTTTTCTTTTTTTGTAAAACAGTAAAAAGCTTCTATAACAACATTTTATGCTTATTCTGTAACTATAAATCACCTGTTCTATAAATTAAATATTCTGCAACTATAAATCAACTATTTAATCCATTATTTCTTAACTTCTTATTTTCTTTGGTATTTTTTGTTATATACAGATATGCAATGATGATTGCTGGGTAATACGTATGTTGATGTTATCCAATGTCAACTCTCTGATCATGTCACAGGACGATATGTGTACAATAGCGTGCACTAGGGCCCGTCATAATAGTGTGCACCGGGGCCCATCGTGACTACCTTACACCGCTGGTCTACAGCTATGCTCTAGCATACTTACACACAGTGGTACTTTGAGCGACATGCTAAAATCAGCAGGCTAACACACTGACAATGATAATAACAAACAAACTGATGTGAAAAAAAACATGTAAAAAATACGTTAAAAAACACATAAAACATGGTAAAAACATGTAAAAAAAAAAAAAAAGATGTTAAAACAAACACGTAAAAACAAACATTAAAAAAAATGTAAAATACATAAAAAACTGAAAAAAATATATTAAAAAAATTGTTAAAAACACATTAAAGAAGACGTTAAAAAAGCATGTAAAAAATGTCAAAACATATAATGTTTATGACTTTTTACCATCTTATTTTAACATGTTGGCATGCTAACGTTTGCTTTCAGCACAAAACACAGCATACAGCTGAGACAGATGGAAACGTCATTAAATGTTAAATGGAAATGACTTTTTAGTCTTCCGACCACTCAAAGTACTCCTACACTTCATGTCACATTCACCCATTCATACACACGATCATACACTGGTGGCTGAGGATACCGTACAAGTTGCCACCTGGTACTAAGTTAAACATTGACATGCATTCAATAGGCCCCCAGGTGTGTGGCTTTGAAGCCACTTTGACATAGTGGCACTACGTGGAATTACAACTTCTGGGTCCGTCACGTAATGTCACTGGGAAAGGGGGTTGTAGCCGATTCCGTGGTCTGTCCAGGGACCATGGTCTCTGGCACGGACCAGTGGTCACCACCACTAGGGGCGCTAGAGACACTGGTCGCGACCAGCTGCACTGTGGTCCCAGTGGTCTGTGAAGTGACTTTAGTATTTTCTCCCTTTTCAAGTCATTTTGGCAGCACTGTTAGCTGGATAAATGTCAAAGATCATAATATTTTGTCTATAAAATAAACTTGATCAGAATTATTATCATTAATATTGTTATTATTATTGATTATAAAGATCCCTGTGGTCAGGACCAGCTGGTCTCTGGCACGGACCAGTGGTCCCTACCACTAGGGGCGCTAAAGTTACTGGTCCTGACCAGCTGCTCTGTGATCTGTTCTGTTGTTTGGACCAGTTGAGTGATCTGTGGAGTGTTTGTTTTTAATACAAATTTTCCCTTTTCTTACTGTGTTAGCAGAATAGCCTAAATGTGAGAAGCCATAATCATTTGTCTATCCAATGTTATCACTATTAATAGAGGTCATAATAAGAATGATTAAATTATTAGTCATAGTTGTATGAGTAATACTATCGATTATGCAGGTCTGTGTCTTCCTGACTGGTTTAAACTTTACCAATGTGTTGCATTTTAAAAGCTTGTGACATTACCCTTTGTATCAAATCTTGATCTAGAAACTAATGTCAAATAAATGTAGTGGAGGAAAAAAATGTAGAGTTGAGTGACAAAGTGTCACAACCTGGCTCTTTGGGCCATGACAGGACGGGAGACACACTGAATTAAGGAGGTGTAACAAAGTAGATTTATTAACAAAAGGAACAAAATGTGAAACAAGGAAAATAATGAATAAATGGGATGTGAACATCAGTACTATCAGTAGTGTATGATGTGCATGTGTGTAAGATGTAATGTATGTTGTATGAATGCATGAACTGAGCATAAGGAACTAAACTGCAGCTGCCACATCACCCCATGGGACGTCTGCTGGAGAAGAGAGAGAGACAATGAATGAATCATGGGTTTTATAATCTCAGGACACTGGGCCCAGGTGCCCCTGATACACCAAAACTCCTCCCACAAACCCAAGTCACATCAGGAGGCTGCTGCCTCAACAGCAGGGGTCATCACACAAAGGAACATCAAATGGAAATACAAAAATGTAAAAGTTTAATTAAAAATTCAACACAAGTAGCCCACAGTACAGTAACAAAAGTAACAGTCGAATCTTGATTGATCCAGCACCTGATCACTCGATGATCGTTCCGAGGATTTTCTCGGCATAAAATCTTGAAAAACCTTCTAGTCTCACCAGGATGTCAATTGTGGTCTGCATAAAAGAAAACATTTTAGTTCAGGACAACACAGGGGAAAAAAACACAAGGAAGAGGACACATTAACAGCTTTATTAATGTTAAATTAACAGATGTAATTATATTTATGGGTGATCAAGTAACAGTAAGCTCAAGCTCAATTCTGTTAGAATGGTAGAACTGTTACAGTAATGGATACCTTTATGTCTTTGTTCAACTAAAATTGGAACTTACCTCTGGCACCATGACATCAGTGACAAAATCAATGTTTTTGAGGAGGCTGTAATCCAATGACAGCGTTGGCTTTATCAGATTAATGAGGTCATTCATCTGTTGGACATAGTAAGGGTAAATAAACAGTCGTTCATACACTCTGACAAAATGACCACTTTTAAAAAATTACTTTAAAAAAATATTACTTACGTGTTTCTCATTGAAACAGATCACATTGCAGCTGGTCAGAACCAGTAACTTTAGCTCCCCTAGTGGTAGGGACCACTGGTCCGTGCCAGAGACCAGCTGGTCCTGACCACAGGGATCTTCATAATCAATAATAATAACAATATTAATCATAATAATTCTGATCAAGTTTATTTTATAGACATAATATTATGATCTTTGACATTTATCCACCTTTCAGTGCTGCCAAAATTACTTGAAAAGGGAGAAAATACTAAAGTCACTTCACAGACCACAGGGACCACAGGGCAGATCACAGTGCAGCTGGTCAGGACCAGTAACTTTAGCGCCCCTAGTCGTAGGGACCACTGGTCCGTGCCAGAGACCAGCTGGTCCTGACCACAGGGATCTTCATAATCAATAATAATAACAATATTTATCATAATAATTCTGATCAAGTTTATTTTATAGACAAAATATTATGATCTTTGACATTTATCCATCTATCAGTGCTGCCAAAATGACTTGAAAAGGGAGAAAATACTAAAGTCACTTCACAGACCACAGGGACCACAGTGCAGCTGGTCAGGACCAGTAACTTTAGCGCCCCTAGTGGTAGGGACCACTGGTCCGTGCCAGAGACCAGCTGGTCCTGACCACTGATGAGCTGGTCGCGACCAGTGTCTCTAGCGCCCCTAGTGGTGGTGACCACTGGTCCGTGCCAGAGATCATGGTCCCTGGACAGACCACGAATTCGGCTACAACCCCGGCTGGCCACTGGGCCCAAAAAGACTTTTTTCCAATAGAGTTACACTGGGAAAGAGACATCTGTAAATCAGTGTGTCATTTTTTTGAGCGTCACAACCCCCGCAAGATGACGTGTTTCACTATCAGGATTTGATCCATTCAGTCTGATAGCATTTCAAAAGTCAAAAAGAGGTGTACAATTAAATAATTTTATTCCCATTCATGTTAGCAGAACGCTAAACTGGAAGTTAGCTGCTCAGCCAGTGGAAGTCTCCAGTGTTCATTGGGCCCTATGGTTCTAGATAATTTCATATTGGCTTCATGCACCTCTAAGCAGCTTTCACAGGAATGAACGGGGCCCCATATCCAATGCTGTATCCAGTTCTCTTTATACATCCATGGCTCTCACACAGTAAGAGTTAAGTATGTTGCCAAAGAATACTTCAGCGTGCTAGCTGGAGGAGCCGAGATTGAACCGCAGATCAGATTAGTGGACGACCCACTCTACCTCCTGAGCCACAGCCACCCCAATAATAGCAATATGCCTAATAATAATTACAGCAGTGGATGTAATAGAATACTATTATTAGTAGCAATAATAGCAGTAGTAATAGTAGAAATATGACTGATGGTAGTAACAGTGGCAGCAGATATACTAGAATAATATTAATAGTAGCAATAATAGCAGTAATGATAATGGAAACTATGGCTAATAATGAAGTTAGTTTTGCACATATTTGTTCATAAACTTGAGGGAAAAAAATGACTTGATCATGGGACTAGTCAAAAGTTCTGTCTGTCCAACAGTTGTGGAAACATTTAAGCCAGAGGCACCAAAGTTAATGTCACAGTGATGTCTAAAGAAAAGTCAGGGAATCACCAAATTTATTGGCCTTAATCCTCTGGGGACCAAAACAAAACATCATGTCCACAAATTCAACAGTATTTGAGATGTTTCAGAGTGGCCCAAAGGAGTGGACCAACGAAAAGTTCAACATTGCCATCCCTAGAGCCATGCTGGTCACATGGCTAAAAATATTAATTCATAATTTTCCACAACACCTGTGTTTGTGTGTGTGTGTGTGTGTGTGTGTGTGTGTGTGTGTGTATATCTTGCTCTCTAAGTGGGCCAAATGAGCAGGCAGCAGACTGGTACAAATCTGACACTGGGACTCACTGGGACTACAGTGGGATGAAATCTGATACATTTGCAAAAACAACAAAATTCCACAGGAGCTCTACTTCAATTTTAGCTCTTATTCCCGAGCCAAATACATTTTTCTTAACTTCTGTTCAAAGATAAATTTGCTGTTAACCACGCTTGGCAGAGATCGAACAAATATGGCGTATTTTGGGAGGGTTTGAGGTAGAGTTGAGGCATTCGTTTCTTAATGGCACAGACAGAGAGGATTTCCTGCTACAGAATTGGCTTGTATAGCACATTGAGAGCTTCGATAATTCACCCCACAAGAACTTTATAAATCACAAGGGTTTTAACAGGGTGTCTACGGGTATCAGACAGTTAAATTTAATGCTGTTTAAGACCCGTTCAAGACACCTTTTAAGCAAATTTATGGCAAATTTATGAACAAATCATGTTTTACTTATCAGGTAAGCACTGCAGGCAAGTAGTATATGTGGTCCTGTGCAGAGGTAAGTGTTATGTAGGAATATGGTTATTAGAGTGAGTTAAGTATCTATATTTTGCAGGTAAATGCAATGTATGAAGTAAAATGACAGTATTATAGTTTTTTAATAGAAAGTCTTCACTCAATTTTACAAAAATAAAATAAAAAAAATGAATAAATGAAATAAGATAAAATGTTTGGAGTAGTTAAGATTTAAAGGCCTGTTTTCACCGCAGGAACTTTGGGGTAATTTTACGGGGCCAGGGCCGTTGGTGCGTGTCTCCACCGCAGGAACCACCCCCAAAGGACAGAGTTCCGGAACTTTTACAAGGGCTAAACAAGTCCCTGCCTCGGGGTAGGTACTCAGAACGGCCCTGAAAGACTCCTGGGTGGGGCTTGGGGTTTACTTGGTGCTGATTGGATATACTCAAGGAGGGATGTGACGACAACAGAAAGCAACAAAATAGCCGGCATTTTTAAAACTCAGCAGACGAGGGTTAGCTCGTTCATATAGCTTCCGTCGCCATTTAAAAAAAACTCACTAAATGGCCTGTGAAAAAAATATTTTTTCCAGCGGATATCTTAGTTACAACATGATTGAGCTAGCAAAGCAGTTTTGTGTTGATATGTGTGGTATTTATTCAGTTATGGGAAATCACGATGTCTAGAAAGCATCAGCTAACAGCAGCATCAAAGCTAACCTCAGGACGTCATCTGTTAAAAGCCTCCCGTTGTCGGATACGACATGAAACTACTCCATTTAGCTCAATCATGTTGTAACTAAGACATCTGCTGGAAAAAAATATTTTCTTCACGGGCCATTTAGTGAGTTATTACAGACACCCCTATCGGCTAACGGCGTCCCTACATCCCCCGGCCAAAATGGTTGTGCAACGATTACGTCACATCCAGAGCCCGTAACTTTACAGGAACCTTCCTCGTATTCCGCTCTCTCAGTGGAGACATGGCGGTTGAGAGGGCTGAGCGAGAGGACATTCCTGTAGTAGTTCCTGCCCCCCAAATAGTACCAGGAACTTCTTCAGCGGAAACGGGCCTCAAGTCCCTGCCTCGGAGTAGGTACTCAGAACGGCCCTGAAAAACTCCTAGCTGGGCCTTGGGGTTTACTTGGTGCTGATTGGATATACTCAAGGTGGGATGTGACGTCAACAGAAAGCGACAAAATAGCCTGCATTTTTAAAATTCAGCAGACGAGGGTTAGCTCGTTCATAGCTTCCACCGCCATGTAAACGAAGAGACATGCCAGAAACCCAGCAACCACCTTAGCTCCTTCCATGTTGATTATCGTCTTTCTTATGTCTGCTTTCTTCTTCTTACTTCTGCTTCGTACTTCTGCTTCTTCTTCTTTGTTGTTGTTCTTCTCTGTTTGTTTCTTTGCCGCGTCACCCCAGTTAAAATGGTCGCACAACAATTATGTCACATCCAGAGCCCGATAACTTTACAGGAACCTTCCTCCCACTCCGCCACACAGTGGAGACACAGCGGTTGAGAGGGCCGAGCGAGAGGACGTACCTGTAAAGTTCCTGCCCCCCAAATAATACCAGGAACTTCTTCAGTGGAAACAGGTCTTAAGACTATTTAATGACTTTTAACACTGAATTTAATTTATTTTATGACTTTTTAAGGACCTGTAGACACCCTGTTAAATGATACTGATTCATGTAGTATCATGAAAGTGTGCTTTCATACAGGACGTTGCCATGGTTCAGCTGTGCAGAGCTTTGCTTACCTGCGTCACCTTCCTTTTATCTTAATTGTGGTGATTTCCTGTTCAGGAACAGAAAAAAGAGAGATGAGTCAGGAACTGGTCGACACAGGTCAAAAAAGTCACCTTACAACTGTATCCCAAAAAGCATTAGTGCTAGTAACACAGTTGAATTATGGAAATGATGTAAAGGAATGCATTACAAACATAATTCAGCCAAGTAAGCTCAATCATTGGTGGGTAGGTTTTGTTCAATCAGTTTAAACAGTTTTCTTACTTCACACTGTGTAGTTGATGGAGCCTCAACTGTAAGAGCAACATGCCAAACAAAGAGCAATAACACCTCCTAGTGGCGGCTTTCCATTCAAAATGATTTCTTCCACATAGAGATAGAAGGAGCACGAGTTGAGGTCATGTGTTTTAGCAACTTTTCGGTAGTTTCCAATCAGCAATTAGAAATTTACAGAATGTGTGTATTCTATATGCTCATATCAGTGCCTTTAATTTCATAGGTTTAAAACTGACTTCCTCTGTGCTGACATTTAAAAGGAGAAAGCTGTGAGTTGGACAATGGATCGCTTTACTGTACGGAGCAAATCACAACAAAACACCAATGGAGACGACCTACCACCAAAAGAAAAGAGGGAGAGAAAAACACTGTATCATTAAAGCTACCTTATTTGTTCTCATTTTTATTGTCTTATGTCGTGATAAGTGTAATAACATACATTACAGAAGCTATTGTGCATAGATATAAATACAGGTGTGCCTTGAGATGATGGCTTGCCCTTTGCTGTGCCTTGGGCACAAAAAGTTTGAAAACCACTGTAATAGTGTAACTACATTTTGCTGTAGCTTGCTGGTAGGTCAACAACATTTATATTTGCACAATGGTTCAAGTAGTTAAATAACTTTTTTTTGCCAATTTTTGTGTAATTAACTACTGCAATTTTGGGCCATGAAGGGAAAGGAATGATCTTTTTTATTCATTTTTTTATTCTTTTTTATTCTAAGTTTTTATTTTACCATTGCTTCTTTACTGTAATTGAACCCCCTTTGACCAGCCCCACAATCTTTCTTTCATTCTGACCACCATGAAGGCATCTGCCCAGGCAATGTATTCAGGCAAAGAGTGTAAACAAATGTTCAAAGTAGTTATTGCATACTATTTTAAAACTTAATCCTGCTTGGTGCAATACCTCCACCTGGACTCTGGTTTCTGGAAGGCAGGTGTCTGATGGACATTGTATATAAAATCAAAGCTGACATACCTTGTACCTGTCCATGAAGAGTGGGATGTTTGATTCTTTTTGGTTTAATTTATGGTTTACTTTTTTCAATAGCTTAATTAAGTGGCATTTCATACTGGCATGTGACTTATTTGTAGGTACCATATTTTGTTATTATTTCATATCACAAGTAAATTGTCAATTTGATCTTTTTTCAAACAAAGTCTGAACTACTTTAGTTAATCAAACTAGATCTCTATAGGATAGCTTTGCTGTAGTTCATTCTGTTACAGTGTTAAGTAGCTTGCAAAGCTATGCTTTCAAAAGGAGTTTCCCCAACACTGTGGGGGTTTCCCAAACACAGAAATGGTAGGCTATATTTGGCATGCAGATAACCAAAAATATAAGCTACCATCCTATCACACCTTTAGTTAGGCATACATAAACTACAGCTGGAAACATACAGTGGTGCTTAAAAACTATAGAACTGTTGATAATTGTTTTATAAACAGGGTATATTGTAAGCTAGACATAGTGCCTACTAAGCAGGACATGATTCAGTGTGATGGGTGAAAATAGACGAACAAATCTTTTTGAATGACTCCTTTTAGTGTTCTGTTTGCACTGGGTCAGCCTGTTGAACGTCCAGGTGCTCATGAATCTCTGACTTTTCCCAGTTCCCCAATCGCTGTTATCGTAGGGTGTTGCTCAGGCTGCCTGCTAAGGTGAGTGAATGAGAAGCGTTACATTTCGACACTAGTCCAGACAACCAGGCAGCTTCACTCATTGAACAAGACCGAATGAACTGTTCTCTTGATGTGGGACATCTGCTGCTTGCCCAGAAGAATAACAACTCAGTGCAGTAAGGTCACATTTCTGTAACATCTGTTGGGCTTACATACAAGTAGGATGCTGAATCGTTGTGGGGATCCGCTTATCCGGGTACTGGGTTGAAGGGGGGCTGGAGTCTATCTCTGCTGACACTGGACAGGTGACCAGACTATCATAGGATTGACACATAGAGACAGACAATCATTCACACTCACATTCACACCTATGGGCAATTTAGAGTCGGCAATTTAGAGTCATTAATTCATCTAACCTGCATGTCCTTGGTTGCAGCGGTATACCGCTTTTAAGGTAGGCCATACCGTGATATGAAAATTGAAGGTTATCATACCATGTACATTTGCTTATCTAAATACTGGGGAAAAAAATGCAACTGGATGGAGAATGTCACCTCCATTTTAGATACTTTCAAAAGGGAGGCTTTTTTTGCACATTAAAAATGGTTCCAAGTTTCAATTATAGTAATAAAACATTGATTCAACAAAAATAACCCTTCCATTTTTATTCCTTACGGGTCCTTCCGACTGATAATAATATTAATTCTGTAATACCTTGATAACGTGATATTTTCTGAGACAATTTATTGTACCGTGAAAATCGTATAACCATTGAAACCCTGGTCTTAAGACAGTGGGTGAAAGCCAGAGCACCCAGAGAAAACCCACATTGACACGGGGGAGAACATGCAAACTCCACATACACTCTTGCAGTGACAGTGTTAACCACTGTACCGCCATGCCACTCATAAATACCCTACTGCAGTGGTTTCAGTGGTCCAGCCCACTTGAGATCAAATCGGGCTGTATGTGGCCCCTGAACTAAAATGAGTTTGACACCCCTGCTCTAAAGATTTGAAGAGTTAATACTTTTATCAACTCAAAGGAACCAATCCAGTGAAAAGACTCGGTCCGCCCATCACTATCTGCCTGGTGCTATCAGAAACTGAAACTGAAGTTGAGAAAAAAAAAATCCCTCCATGAATCTCCGCCTACCATGTTGCCCTGTAATAAGGCGGTTACTGTAAACTCCTCACCAGTTGCATCAGGTCACAACAAGTGTGTCAGCAAAATGGGAGCCGATTCGACCAAGTTTCCTGCGTGGTTTTTCACCTTTAACGTTGTTCTGCTCTGTGTGTCATGGTAAGTACCCAGACCACAGATGTACTGCATTTGAGCTAATACAGGCGTTATGTCGAGACATGTTACTGCACCTAGCGTCACCCCTCGACAGCGTTTCCGGGAACTGTGTTAACAGCTAGGTTAAATTTAATATTAGACACAAGTGTTGAGGTTTAGAGGTGAGGTTGAGGTTGAATATTAGACTATTTAACACGACATACTGTTGTTGTTGCTACGGGCTAAGTTTTCAAGGAGGAAACAAATCGTTGGGTGACAGAATTCGCGGTAACACAGAGTTCAGAATTCTACGCAAAATATAACCGTTAGGAAAATGTGAAGGAGTAAACAAAGATAATACGTGTGTTAGGCGATTGTTTATTGGATTGTTTCTTCGATTGAACATACTGAGATGTTTAACTCACTTTTACTTTCTTTTCTGTCGCTGTATTTTCATGTCCAGTTCCCCTTCCTCCGCTCAATTGACAACCGGAAGTCGAACTTGTAATGATGGCACCTACGAACATAACGGGAAGATCTGTTGTCGGTGCGGTGCTGGTAAGTGTCAGTGTGGGGACAGTATCCTCCTGAGACCCTGCGTCCTCACATGTGGACGTCACATTTTGGGTTTCTTGCATCTCATACTTCATTCTGCTGAACTTAGACGTGTTGTACTTTGTTTGTGGACACATTTTATGCTCAGTAGCTGATCCCAAAGTGGAAAAGGTACAAAAAAACTCACCAAATGTTGTGGTTGAAACGTGTTTATTTGTGCTAAATAATTTCTGTAGTTAGATATGGAATACAAATTTGACCAATATTAGCAATAGTCTCATACTCGTTTGAGGACACTGGGACTTCATTATTGAATTATTCCAGCAACTCACACAGCCCAATTAGGTGTGACCAACTGTTCCTACATATGAAAAGGTCATTCGTAGACTGGAGTATGGAGCAGGGCAAATGCAATAGAGAGTTATAAAAAGAGCAAATCACAAGGCTTTCAGATATGTTGCATTATTTTCAATTTTGTAGCCAGCCATGTTCAAGCATTGAAATGAATAGTTTTCAGTAGTTTTACACCTGAACAGTAACCTCTAACCCTGACAGTTACAACACCTTAAACAATTGTTGCATTTTTTTTTTAGGTGCTTCTTTGTTTTTTTGTTTTTTTTGGCACAACAATGTTCAGGTATTGAAATAAACAGGTTTATAATTAATTAAACACTTGTGGCTATTACAAATAAACCCATTGTCCCTATATGAGGACATCTTTTTCCCCAGAACTACTTCCTGTTCAAAGACAATGCTTAGTTTTTCCAAAGATACTGGATTACTACAAGATGGCCCACCTACAATATACTCCCATTGTATGAAATGGTATACATTTCCGGTCTCCTAATTAGGCGTTGTCCCCCATACCCCAATCAAAGACTATGGAGAACCACCAATCAAAGACGAGTATCCCCAACCTAGCTTCTGTCAACATGTGTGTACCCTTACTGGTCGTAAGCTAAATAAATAAACAGTCCGGGGAAAAAATATTTTTTCCAGCGGATGTCTTAGTTACAACATGATTGAGCTAACTGGACTAGTTTCATGTCGTATCCGACAACGGGAGGCTTTTAACAGATGACGTCCTGATGGGTCCAATATTTGCTTCCATGACTATGGGGCGAAAGAATCGGCCATAATCTGTAATCATGTTCATTTCTCCCACGGAAGTCAATGGACTCAGGACCTGCTGTTAGTCTCCTAAAGGGGTGTGGTGGTCGCGAACCCCACGTGACACTGATACAGGAAACTGACTCGCAGTGGACCGTCTTGGTTTATCCACCATCTTTGGTTTTTCACACTTATCAGGTCCTACATTCCCAAATAGCTTGGACAAATTAAAAATGCACACCAAACACAAGCTCAGAGGATATGAAAATCAGTTAGCAAATGTAGCTGCCTTTGTTTTTTTTGTTTTTTATTAAGATGCCGACAAATGATCCAAGTCAATTTGGTAGAAATGTGATTGCAAATTCTTCCTTTTGAGACCAAGGAAATTCATTAAGAAAATATATAGAAACTATAAAAGTTTTATAGTTCACTTACCTGAGACCCGGAAGAAAAAAAGGTTTGGATATTTTTGTTTTTTAATTTATTTTTAACAGAATTTAAGTAATTGTGATGTAAGAAATACATCACATAGATTTTTTCTCATATATGTGATTAATTAATGTTTTATAACATGCCCCTTGTTGTGGACATCGGGCCAACCTTTTCCACAGAATGTAGACCTACATTACAGTACAGTACATTTACATTATAAAACTTCCATAAAAGCCTTGTCCCAATTAAACGCCCAGTCCCTTTTACTAGCCTGGTGTAACTACACATTTTGACAAATAAACGCCTGTCTCTGTTAGAGACCTGGTCCGGTTGCAAAGCAATTAATTTTTTTTAATAGAAGTTCTTCAGATGTATAAAAGCAGGTTGTTGACTACCTCAAAGTATGTGTCCATTCCTAGATTACCCTGGAGGTTATTCATATTTCTTTAGTTGACAAGGGTCCACCGACTAAAAGAATCAAAAGGGGTTTTTCATAAAAATTAATCCAAGTTGCGAGTATTTTTTTAACAGAATAAAGTGGTGGCTGCAGTAATCTTCGAGTGCCGTAACTCTTTCTCTCTCTGTTGCGCTGTCTGTCTAGATTGGATGAATTATTCAGAATTGATATATTTTCTGAAACCTAATTTTTAAACGAGTAATATTCATACTAGTTTATATAAACAATTTGATCATATTCCTGATCTTTGCTGAGCAACAGTTAAGTGTGAAAGGAATTAAAGGCCTGTCCCAAATATAGGCCCGTTGATTTCAGTGATGTAAGCAAATAATAACGCGGGCTGTTAACTGAAGTTTTACGGTAGTTAAATTTCCTTTTAAAGGAACAGTGTGTAAGATTTAGGGGGATTTAGTGGTGAGGATTGCACATTGTAACCAGCTGAAAAACTTCTCCCTGTTAGAATTCCTTCAATGTTCATTGTTCACGAGGTTTTTAACGGGAGCCGAATTATACACAGAGGTCTCTTCCTCCCCAAAACAAACACACCAGGTGATTAAATGAAATGAAAACACTGAATAAGGAAGTTTCACGTTACACGTCACTAAATCTCATTTGCTCATGTGTGTCCATACTGTAGGTCTGTACCTGGAGCAGCACTGCACCACAAATCTACAAGTTGGAATATGCAAGGCCTGTGATCCAGGGACGTACAACAGGCAGCCTAACAGCCAGGGGTCCTGTGAGCCCTGCACATCCTGCGCACAACCCAATGGTATAGACATAATGGAACATTAATGTTTCTTTTTTGTTTTCCAGTCTTTAAAAAAAAATACAGCTTGAAGCAATGTGAGAGTCTGTCAGTGCTTCTAATGCCAGTTGTGTGGTTTTACTGTCCTTTTAGCCAATCTAGAGGTGGACGAACAGTGCACCCCAGCCAGGGACACAAAGTGTCGATGTAAAAAGGATCACTATTGCAGCAGTGGCACAGAAACCTGTAGGATCTGCTACCCATGTAAAGAGTAAGTTCTGCTCCTACAAGTATCCTTGAACTGGAAGATGTTGATGATGTCTTTAAAAAAGTGCCACAGTGCTGTAACAGTTTGAGTCCATGTTTCTTGATGGAGGTAGTTTGGGGAGTGTGGAAAAAGACGATAGTCAAAAACACAGCAGCACTTGAACTGAATTTACCACAATGCCCGTCATTTACTCATCAACCTTACACCGGGTTGTACGGTTACTGTCTTAACATAAATGAACAAAATAGAGTTCGGCACAGGCATCTTTTTGTAGCAAGAGCGCCACCCAAATAACTATTGTGTGTTTCGTATCCGTGTTTATTTACTTGTCCTCAAAGGCTGCCAGCAGAGTTTTAAAAATATGTGTATAAAGATGTGAATATCTGTCACTCATACTTGCTTTTCTTTTGGTTCAAGGTGTGGTCCTGAGGGCATCAGAGTAGCCTGTACAGCGAGAAACGACACAGTCTGCAATGAGAAAACTGATGGTATGGTTTAATTCAGCATTATTGCATTATGGTGGCTTCAGTAAGTACATTGTCTTATTGTTTGGGATCAAATTGTAACGTGCCTTTGTGTTTCAGGGGGAGATAACACAGGGATGATCGTCGGTATAGTTGTCACTGTACTTGCAGTACTCGTACTTGGTCTTGTTTCATACTGTTGGAAGATACGTAATGGCCGTGAGTATATCTACCACCACACCTACATTTAATAGGACCAGCAGAGGGCACTAGAGCCTCATGTGTTCCTTAATAAAATAGCAAAGTACAGTGATAATAACGGAGGTTCATGTTAAATTCAACATACATTCAGATTTAATTACTCTTGTTGTGTCTTCTAAATTCTTCGTTTAAGTGTGTTGTTTTTTCATTATTTACCTCACAAGGGAAGAGACAGCCGATCCCAGAAAGAGAGATGAATGGAAATGCACGTGATGTGGTAAGTTATTCTCCAGTGTTATCATCTCTTATAGTCTATTTTTAACTCTCTGACCCGTTTGAAGATGTTTGTCCTTTGTTCTGTTTTATCTAACCTCTCTTGTCACACTTGCACATGTACACCTGTGCCTGTATAGTAAACACTTTTCTGTCTCTTCTCTAATGCTAGCAAAGCTGCCCCTTTCTATAGGAGGTGCAGGTTAGTTGTCTGTAACCTTTGGTGTCCGTGTTAGTGTGCATGCTCTGTGTCAGTACTGCTGTAGTGTGACGTAGTTGTAAAGGTTGTGTTAGCAGTTTGATCACTGTTTTATTAACATTTATTCTACTTGTGTTTCTCAGGAGATGCAGCCACTCGCAGGTAAGAAAAGATCCACAACGCCTTTATTTATTGATGCAATATGAGAGCTTTAATTGCTGTTTCTCTACATTTTGAGCTTGTTAGATGAAATAGCTGATCAGTTGATAATCGGACTGAATCGACATGTCATTATGTCATTATACAGTGTGATATTGGAGCCCTATCTCACTTCAAAGTCGTCGAAATCCGGCGCTTGGGCAGTAACTTCCGCCGTCAAAAAACAATAAAAAAGCCGTCCTTTAATGTTGGCATGATACGCGGCCGGTTGCCGATATAGTTTAATGGTGCGCGGCAGCATCGGGGGGGAAGCCGCAGGACAAGGAGGAAAGTTAAGGTGGCGAAAGTCTGACTGGGGCAGGCGGGAGGGTTGGTGGATGGGTCCAAGACACTTGAGAGAGCAGTGTTCGAGTCCTGAAAGATTCTAAAGCCAAACCCTGTTCCTTTTTTCCTAAACCTAACCTATGTGTTTGTTGTTGAAGGAAAAAAAAGTCAATTCGTGGTGTTGTACCGACGTAGTGTGTTTATTTTGAAAGAGACTGTATGTAAACGGTAAATTTCCTGTGAAAATAGAAGTGTATTTTGAAAGAAGACAATGCATGTAACAGGCA